CATTGCTCGACAATCTGGCAAACTCCATCTGCTGATGAAGATCCTGTGATATAACTGAATTTTACTGTATGGGGTTCAAAATCTGATACCTCCAGACATGAAGATTATTATGTTTTATGATCACCTGAGAACGTAAGGAGGGAGAGGAGGATGAAAAAAAAGGTAGAACAGAAAGAAAGGAAAAGATGCATGTTGCTCTCCAGCTGAAAACAGTTTTCACTTTTAGTTTTGTTTCCAGAGAAATAAAAATCGATAAGGCCTATTTATGTTTCCGGGCGTGTACGTGTTGTTGTTGTTGTGTGCTTATTCTTTTACTGCTGACAAGTAAATCCTCCCCGGCTCAGGGGGAGAAGCCTCTCGGCTCAGCGCAGTGATTCCAAGGCCAATTAGGCAGCCAGTAAAATAAAATCTTTATTGACAACAGTTCTCCCCGACGGTCTGCCTCGCCGAGCCTCCTGTAGATCTGCCACTCCGCGACCTGAACCCCTCAGACGTATTCCCAGACCTGCAGGCTGCAGGCTGCAGTTTAACAGACTGTACGGGTGGGGTCACCGCCACGCAGCATCAAAGAATTAAAGCGCTGCATCCTTGCGGTCTCCCAGGATGCTCTGCTCCTGTTTTATTCATGGCTGTTTGCCGTGTTTATTTGTATCACCCTCTCCTTTCACTGAACGACTCAGCAGCTTCGACCTATTCATCAATATAAAACACGCTGTGTGGACCTCCGTAATTGACTTTCAAAACAGGGACAATAAATCTCAACTCCTCCACAAACAATAGCACTTCAGAGATTAAATATATTAGCATGCAGCAGAGGTGGAAAATAGAATACTCAAGGCTTTTAATGTAATAAAAAAGGCACAAAAAAATAAGGAATGCTCCTTTACAAGTGGAAATCATGCTTTCAGAAGTTTTTGCTTTCAAAGTATTAGCAGTAAAATGCAAACTATCCACAGTAAAAGTACTTATTGTGAAGAGGAAAACATTATACGTCCAAATATGGGGATGTTCATGCTTTCAGATCAGCTAAAAAGAAAGGAAAAAAAAGTAAGAAAGAAAGAAGGAAAAAAGAAACGTTAAGAAAAATTTAAAGCTATATTATACCAATGAGGTTAAAGGAGGCTTTTATTTTGGAGGCACAAGGTTTTGTATAAATCACGCCATCTGGTTGGCAGCCTCGCACGCCAGTTTCTAATTAATCACCACATTTCTGTTTTTTATCCGATTCCTCCCATCAACTGGAAAATGCTCTGTCACCGGAGAAAGGGCCGGATTTAACTGCTGTCATGTTTTTGGTGTGACTTTGTCTTGTTCCTGCATACCTCTGAGGAGTGTTCCTCCTTTTTTACCTGCAACAGTCCTGTTTACCAGCTCTCATGTTGAATGTGAAATATGAATCTGAAGTAACCACTTACTGCAGTGGTCAGATGCATGTTGAGAAGCAAAATTCACAATATTTTCCTCTCGAGATGTAAGGAAATAGAGCCAATAGTGGTCCTTGATTGGTTTGTAGGAGGAATAGAATATTTTAACTTTTATTAAATTTGGTTAGAACCATAGACAATTTATGGTCGATCATTTTGACTGATTGTATTTTGAGGGTATCCCTGAAGACAAAATGCTCTCAGATTGGTCTAACGTGCATCTATTGTGAAAAAGTTTGGGAATCCCAGCAGGACTCGGAGAAACCCAAACAAGTTCCAGAACATTTGTATCTTATAAAAACTGACCTGTTAGTGAGTAGTTTGCACAAATTAAGGTAAGATAACTGAGCAAACGTGAATTATTTGAAAATAATACATGAAAAAAAGGTAGAACATTTACATTTTTGTGAATAAGTTGACATAAATATCATAGTGGTATGCAGTCTGGGTCAGTGCAGATGTGTTCATCTGCCTGCACGTTACAAGGCTGCTATTTGATTATCTGCTGCGTGTGACCTTTTCATTGGCAGTGTGTAGTGTGTGTGTGTGTGTGTGTGTGTGTGGTGTGTGATGGGGTTATATTGACAGAGTAAATTGCAGACTGCCGGTGCAGCAGCAGTTTGTACAAGACACTCATTCCGACACCCTAATTGGCATGCAGCCCTGGCCTCACGCTGCATGGAGTCACAGTGAGGGAGGCCGACCAACACAATGCACCGCAAAACACTGCAATGCTGAAGCAGGAAGCAGGGCATAAACGTGCTGTGCATGTGAATATGTGAGAGTGCATCTCAATAATCTTTTTTTTCTTGAATTTAGTTAATAAAAATGCCAACAAAGAGAGAATATTTCCGCCTGTTTCCAATAAAAATCAACTTGTTTTAACTATTTTGTAGAAATGACTCGCTTTCTTGAAACCAGAGGCCAGCCACTGTGCTAGAATAAAGAAAAGTGTGTGAGGAAGTGAAATTTATGAATATAAAAACAGACTAAATGACTTGTTCAGATGGAGAGAATGAAATCAAAGGCAGACAGGAAGAGAGAAGCAGCCAAAGGATGTTCTGCCAGTTCACAACTCCACATTTCCACATGGGTGACACATGTCATCTCCAGCACAGGAAACAAAGCACTGAAAACACACACACACACACACACACACACACACACACACACACACACACACACGGTCAGTAAACAAGGGAGGAGGGGAGCACATAAATATCTGTGACAAGAACTCATCCTGCTCTGTGTCACTGTGACACTGAACCGCCACATACCGAACAGCAGGAACAATAAAAATAAGTAGAGTTATATGTGCTGTATCACATATAATATGAATGAGTTCTATGACAGCTTCAAAATCAAAAACCAGTTGAAATTCAGCCTTTTGTCTTAAAACAATAAAAGATTCTGCCTGTGGTTGGTGAGTGTCTGAATAAAAACTAAATAAAATCCTCGAACAAGTGAAATACTGTCAGTGTTTTTCACCTCCCAGTCATCCAAAGTCGGGCCGACTGCAGCTGAACACGAGCCGTCGTTGGCCCATACAAGGCTGCCAGACTTGTTTAGGTATTGAAGGCTGCAACCAACGATTATTTTTTTTCTTGATTAATCTGTCGATCCTTTTCTCGATTAATCGATTAGTTGTATGGTCCAGAAAATGGTGAAAAATGTTAATTGATGTTTCCCAAATGCCTGTTTTGTCCACGATCCAGAGACTTTCACATTTGAGAAGCTGAAATCAATGAATTGGACATTTTTTCTTAAAAATGAGTCAACTAATTGATTAATCGACTAATGGTTGCAGTTCCAGGTGCTAGCTGGGCCAATTCTGGATCAATATTAGCACCTGGATTTGGAGATATTCTGGTGTTCATATATTATGAAGCTGGATTGTTGCATAAATTGATTCTAATTGCAATTATATGAATTTCCCATCATTTCATTATTAAATTTAAGTATTGCACAAGTTTAATGTCGAGCTTTACAACTGTGAAGCATTACGACTACAGCTCCGTACAACAATCCTAATTCATACGTTCGACCATCTCCTGTTCTGCATCCAAGTATTTGTGTATTCTCTGTAGAACTATACATTTTCCTCTTATTAAGCTCAGCAGGTCAAAACTGAATAAGCTAATTGCTAATTAGCTCCAATTCAAAAATGCTTCTTGACACAAATGCTTCAAATGATCAGGACTGGGTATCGAACCTCAATATCTTTTCACCACCGCCCAAAAGGTCAAAAAGTCTCCACTGAACGTCTGGTTGCTTTCCTAATATTCTTTATAAATTCTTTGGCCAAATAGATCCTGATTTGGGTCAAAATATTGCTAATTTATGACTTTTATTTAAACTTGCGCTGCTTGTGTTAAACCATTGGTGTCCACAGGGACGGTGTACGGTGAAAATGTGTCATAAATCGGGAGAAATATAAGAGAACTGTAACCCCGGGAAGGAACAGGCAAAGGGCAATGGAAACAGGAGGAGTCTCCTGGGAAAAGTCTCCTGGGAGGGTTGGCAAGTATGTCCAAAACTGTCAAGTACCGATCCGATAGTTCAAACCCCCCATCCCCCCCCCCAAGATAGAGACGGACAGACAGAGTTCCAGAAACACAAGAAAGCTTCCTTCCCTCTCCTCGTCTCGCGTCATCTTCACACTGAGACATAAAGACATCTACCCTAACCCATGTCTGAATGTCTTCAGAACGACACTAACACCTCAGTGCCTCCTCTCCTCACTGCACACACACACACACACACACACACACACACACACACACACACACACACACACACACACAGAAAGCCATTAGAGTCCAACCAGAGAACTAAGAGTTGAGCTAAATATAAATGTACAAACGAGGCCGTTTAGCCCGGTTAGCTTGTTAGGCCGACGCGGCGATCATCGATCTCCCGAACTCATCGCGCAGCAGAGAGCACAGAGCTGATCAGAGGCTGCCAACACACACCTCGGTGAACACACACACTTCCACGCTCATCATTACACAGGTTCTGTGCCGGGCTGGCAATTACTGCTCTGTGTGTTTTTCTGCTGTCCTTCCCGACTCGTTCTCTTTCTCTCTCTCTCTCTCTCTCTCTCTCTCTGTGTGTGTTTGATCTCCCAGTCATTATCCAGTGCAGCGGCCTTTCATCACCTCCCTGATCACATTGATCTGCTGCCCGGCTCAGCACCGAAGCACCTCTGAAGACACGGAGACACTCAAACTGCCCGGTGCTCAATTAAAAACTGTGATTGCTATTGACAACCTCTGTTTGATATGTATGTATGTGTGTGAGGTGAAAAATGAGTGGACCAATCTGAAGGTAATGATAATCTTTCTTCAGTCTCTTCTCCTATGAATCATTTACAAGTTACCAGTTTGGGAGGAAACGTAATGATTCCTTCATTTATCTGTATCGTATTTACCCACCTACCTAAATTTATATTCAATATATCCGATAAAACTCTCATATTACGTGTAAAGTGTTTACCGGTAGCATTTTTAAAAGATATAATATCTCCGCATTAAAATCACTAGACCTACAGTACGTTATATATTTTGTTGTACTTACATTATCCCAAATGTTTCCAACAATGTTCCGTCATTTCCTTCCGGATATACACCGTATACGTCGAGAGAGTGAGGAAGAAAGTTGGCGAACAAGATTAAATGTAACATGAATACAACTTCATATATAATGTTTTATATTATGTTGCATAATAATAGAGACATATCAAAGAAAATAAATAAAAATCTGGAGAAAATCATAAACCCAGTGTTTGTATCATGAATCGCATCGTTACATCCCTGCAGTCTTCTGTGCAGACTTCCTGTGCAGATGTTTCATATTACCTCTTAGTGGCTCAGAGAGCAGAATTCCAACTTTTCCTGGCACATTTTTATGTGAAACATCTGTAGGAAGTGTTGAGTTTCACTGACAGTAGCCGATCATCGAGCATGGAGAAGAATTGCCGGCTGGTCCATGACAGGCCGGGACAATGGATGCATCTGGCTGCTGAGCGGTCAGAGTGAAGGCATTTGGTCCATTGCTCATTTCTTCAAACAACTGTGAGGGTTTGGTTCCGGTTAGAAGGTGGTCATAAAACACTGAACACTGAACTTCCTGCTCTGACTTCAGCTGTTGTCCAACACTAAATCTTTCCACAGTGATAAAATGGAGGACGTTGTGTATTTGTTTTGCTTGACCTCTTCGGATCCAACCCTCTGGGCATCCCGATGATTTCTATTCTTCAGGTTTACATCTGACTGCATCTCTCATTTACATAAGAGAGGAACAGAGTGTCGCGAGCTACAGAGCTCATCTGCAGATAAACGACGCGAGCTGCGTTATCACAGTGGAGCAGTCTGTGCATGTGATTACCTTAACATTTGTCCTGTATACCTGTAGGTAGATAGCAACAGGGAGACCATTGGGGATTCATTAGCTCACTGTCATAATTAATGTTGTATGGAGCCGGCAAACAGCTCCCCTCGGGGGAAAGGATAAGGCGTCAGGTTGGGAAATGTAGGAGGGTGTTCACAATCGCACAGTGTCAGATAATGTTACACATTGATTAGCGCTATGAGCCCTGTTAGAGCTATTACACCTGATTTAATCAGCGTGGCAACTGGGAGGGAGATGAACTGTTTAGGATGACAAGTGGAGGAAGAGGAAGAGAAGTAAAGGATGTGGAGGTAAAGAGAGAATACGGGAACAAGGAAAATGCTCATTTTATTTTCCAACACTCTGCTCTGCTAACTTTGTTCAGCAATCAATTTCAAAACTGTCATTCCCAGGTAAAATGACATTCACTCATACAGCAGTGAGGGAATGTTATTACAGATTCACTGTTGCATTTCATTTGGTAGGAATTACTGGATACCAAGGTTCCAGTTTTGCCTGAATGGAGTTTAAAACATGTTCATACTGTTGGTAAGGTTAGCTGAGTCTGACTTTAAAGCACAATGGGAGTGCTGCAAAATGTGTAGTGATGTAATGCCAGATTGTGCTGGATAGAAACCATTTCTAAACAATTCTGAAAAGAGAAAATGCATTGGCACATGCTCATGGGCTGACCTGAAACAATGACTAGTTAGGCAGGAACACCGTGACAAACAAATAGTTAATATATTTAAATGACTTAGCATGAGTGACTCTAGATGGACAAGTAACTGTGACTATGTTTGACTATAAATGTCCAAAGATGGAAAAGGTTTGCTGTAAATGATGGTAATATAGTGTTCTACCTGTGAGTGTTAAAGCTGCAGTTTGGTCATCAACTGATGATTAAATATCCAACCTAACACCTGCACTCTGTTTAAAGGAGTGGTTGGAAGAAAACGCAGCAAACTGCAGTAGATAAGTTGAAACTTATGGAGAAACGGGCCCCAATGACATGCTGCGGTTTTAGAGTGGTAAAACTGCTCCACAGTCAGCCTGAAATATCACTGAAACAGGCGCTCTCCAGATGGAGGTCATGGACCAAACTATGATACTCTCCCAGTTGTGTTTATTTCACATACCCAGCTTCAGTGTGTGTCCGGCTTGCAGTCTTTGCTGCAAACTAGTGACACCAATAAGCTTTCTTTGGTTTGTGTCCATAACTGTTTCTGATGTTGGGTAGGCAGCGTACAGTTTGCTAAAAAGGAGATTGAATATTCAGTAATTTGCTCTCAAAACAAAGCTATGAGCTAAAAGAGACTACAAAAGTTGTAGTTGCAGAGGTAGTTAATGGTAATTCTATCCTTTACAGTTCACATAGTACTTTCATTAATTGTTAATATATAATGTATAGATTCAAATAACATCTCCTACTGCAAACTGAGACACTTTAATCCCCACTTTAAGCAGTTCCTCAGCCCTTGCTACTATACAGCCCACTGCATGGTCAAGTGTTGCACACTCACTGCATTATATATGACTTCATCGGAATTGATCTGATCAAATCCTGTTCCCAGAAAATTATCAGCAGCGTTGCTCCAAACAGAGTGCTGAACCGGAGCAGGGCGTGCCGGAGTGTCAGCAGTGTTGGAGGATGCCGATCAGTTAGCTTCCCTCTGCGGGCCTCCCTGTGCCGCTGCTGCAAAGCCACTGCAAAGCCACTGCTATTAGTGATATGTGACTGTAGGAATGTGGCATGTCAGGCTGACAGTGCGCCAGCCAATCAATTACTCAGGACAAATACGGCCTTGTGTGGCTGCAGGACGCTGGATGGATGGAGGGAGGGAGGGAGGGAGGGAGGGATGAGTGGCTCAGCTAGCACATAACTAAGAGCATCAGCACAGCGAGCAGGGGCATATGGAAATGAGAACAATATTTACCCGAGCCTCAAGCAGTATGGATGTTATTTATATAACTGGCCTAACCCACTCCCATAAAACAGACGGGCAGCCAGACAATTAAAGGGAGCGAGAGAGAGGAGAGAACGTTACTCTGCGTCTGACCTATTTAGCAAATAAAGAGCCGTAAACACAGCAGATCTGAACTCTGCAGCAGACAGCCAGGGCTAAAACAGAGCTAACCACCCCAACCCTGTAAAAGCACTAATCAAAGCCTGCAGGCTTCAGAATAGCTTTTTAAGTGGGGCAGAATGTTTCGCAACACTTTTTACATTTAGGGCTCAAGTCCCACTCGTCCTCGTTACCGCCTGTTTTTGCTCAGTCCTAAATAAATCATCAAAAATCCAGCTGCACAGAACGGATACACACAGCTCGCACGCTAGTTTACAGTACAAACTCAATCTTCTAACTGGAGTCAATACCAAGAGATAGCGTTAGAGACGATAGATATAATGATTCAATTTTAAGGCAAAGCAGTCCACATATACAGTGTCGATGGGGAGCCACAACACGTCTGAATGTTTCTCAGAAGTGCAGTCAATAAAGAATATGATCATTGATCTGCTGCTCCCAGAGTTCATGCAGCAGTTTATGGAGTACAGGGTGGTGGGGAAGGGAGTCAAAACACACCTAATGATTCCTGTGTCGTAATCATTCAGACTTCTGGAAAGTCTTTGGCATTTAAAGGACTCTGATATATGAAAACTCTGATCTCCCTCCATCCCCAACCGGTTGAGGCAGACAGCTAGAGCCGGAGCCTGCTTGAGGTTTCTGCCTGTTAAAAAAGATGTTCTTCCTTGCCACTGTCGCCAAGTGGTTGCTCGTGGTGGGTACTGTTGGTTCTCTGTAAATAATTTTATAAAAAGGAGTCCCAAGTGAAGCCTTAAAGAAAATCCTCAGCAAGGACATGTTAACAATGAATCTGGAAGCAGTTCACCTAAATATGTTGCAATATGAGATAATCAAACCCCACTTGCTTTCACATGACATTTCTTGGAAGACTAACACACCCAGTAGGCCTTAACCCAGAGAAGAAGAGAAGATACTAGTAGGTTTCATGCAAGGCTGGTGTTTTATTGAGGGGTTTGGCTGGACCGCAGCTGGAGGATCAGGGTAGATCAGCTCAGCATCAGGCACAGCTGCAGGTTCTCAGTGTGATGAACAGGCCTGCAGGCACTACGAGGGGTACACTGTGTACACTGTGTACACTGTGTACTAGTACTGACAGTGCTCTGTGTCTGTGGTTTGTAGATGAGAGGTTAATGTAATTAAAAAGGTTGTTTGGTCGTTGTACTAGTAACACAATACGGGTCAATCTGCTTTGAGCTCCCTCACTTCTGTTGTGCACTGCATTCATAAATGTTATAATTCTCTTACGTAATCTGGCATTGTAAGTACACTTAATGTTGCCATTTTCCGGGTAAATGCACAACATACTCAAAGGACCATTACAGAAAAATGATTTAAGCTGCTTACACACAGGTTACAAATAGTGGCAGCGTTTCACAAATGTTGTTTGTGAGTTGCAAGTGAATTTATGAATCCTACAGGGTTCTAGCGTGCTAATGCGCGGGTAGTATGGCATTTGTTTTGATTAGTGGAACATGTTGAAATTAACAGCGGAGAAAATGATCTCATCTTGCAAATGGCAGCCTTTGTGTTGCTGAAACGGGTCCCAGGACGGTGTCGGCCTCTGGTCCACGTGCAGACACAGTTTTACTAAAAGGGCCTTGTGAGATGCAGATTTTTCAGAACGGTATCCGTGTGAACGTAAAACTCAGCAACAACTCATTCTGTGCATGCCCTTTCTGTAATGAGCATGCATGTGAACAACAAGAACAATGGCCGACTACCGGTTTGTTTACATTTGGTTCATGGATGTAGAGTATGAAGGCAGAACTGGATACAGCGCTGATTCATTCCTATGGATGTTGTTCAGTGGGGAATAAAATAACTGCATATGCTTCCACATTATGGGGCCTACTAGAGACTTCTGCTGCCCAAGCCGCTAACTTCCTGTTTAGCCCTCCGCCATCTTGAATGGCGATAAAATGATTTAATCATGCAGCTCTTCTAGACTTTCCAAATTTCTGGGACTGAATGGATCAAATTCTGAAAGAGATTCTTTTGGGGATTTACGAATGGTTTGGCCTCTATGTTAAATTAACTTTAAAGCCTGGCACTCTTCCTGCGGCTCTGGTTTGGTTAGCAACACTAGGCCGTGTGCCAGAGAGGTGTTAAATAAATAAAGGTTAAGAAATTAGTCAAATAACTATAAATAAATATTAAGCCACTGTTTTTTTAAAGATACTATCACCAAAGGAAAATAAGCTCACTATTATCTTCTCTTGTATTTGACGTATTGTTGACGTAGAGTTTATCACCACCTACCAACACGTTTGAGTGTTTGGAATAATTCTTGTGTTCTTGTGCGTACAAAGATGTTTTGTAAAATGTCAGTGTAATGGTTTCGTAACGGTGTAAAGGTGATCGAGAAGGCAGTTTTGGGACCCCCGAAGAAAAGGTCCTATAAAACACTTAGGCCGGCCCTGATAGGCCCGCATACAACCACCAACAGAACGGAAAGTCAGACTTTTCATTTCAATCTGTTTGGACAGATCCCAGAACCCAAAACTCAAGTTTATGTTACACAGCAATTCTGTACTCAGATCAAACCAGGAACAACCTGAAATTTTACATACTCAAGCAAAGAAGTGTTCATAATCTGTAAATCAAATGTTTTCTGTGCAAACAACACAAACATGCTTGACAGCAGCTGAACCTGTAACTCGATACGATACCACACACACACACACACACACACACACACACACACACACACACACACACACACACACACACGATACTGTCTGAGAGCAGCTCACACCAAAACATATTGAAGTCCAACATCAGGTTTCACAGCCAAAACTGATTAAATGTTAGATTTCTATGCCATTAATGTGGATTTTAATGAAAAGCACGGTCCTGTTGATAACAATCCAACTGATAAGCCACCAAAAGGATCCAAACAGAGAACCCATACATCCACACGATCGATCCTGTCGGGGCAGCACTCACCTGAAGCAGCTGCTCCAGGAGGCTGAGCCCCCACAGCGCTCTGTAGCCCCCCGGGGGTCGGTGGCACAGGCCTGGGCCAGGATTTAGCCGCAGGAGGGCCGACCCTCACCACCCCGACGTACTCCACAAATGTCCCTGGAAAGTCTCCCTTCTCCTTGGTCCTCTCGTTGGTGCCGTGCAGCCAGCCTTTGGGGCTCCGCTCGTCCCCGTCCTGGTAGTCCCGGCCCGGCACCGCCATCAGCGAGGCCTTGGGCACGGTGAGCAGGTCCCCCGGCTGGAGGCTGATGTCATCCCCACGCTCCCGCTTGTACTCAAAGAGCGCCCGGTACTGGAAGCTGTCAGAAGCCATGGCGACGGCAGTTCATAGGTTGGTTCTAAAGCCAAAAATGCAGACGCTGCCTGAGGTTTGCTGCTTTAAAAGTAAAATCAATGCCTTGAAAAATACCAAACGGGAACTCTGTTACTTAAAAATCCCTGAGTTGAAACTGGAACTCGACCCAAACCTGGGAAACCTGGGATGGCGCCTGAGATTTGCTGTGTCGTGCTGACTTTGATGACACAATGGAAATGATAAAAATCTGGTCCCTGAGGTGGAATTCGACACCTTTTTAGCCACCCTGAAGAGCAGGTCCAACCTTCTTAATCCAAAAATAAAAGTCCCCCAAGTGAACAGTCGGCTGCTCTTTGCGTTAACACTGCAGATTTGGTTGAATATCCTCGCAGTCTTTAAAAATCCACAGTATGAATCCACCCGTCGGCCACAGATCTCCAGTCTTGAGGCCTGCTGGCGTTTGGGAACCAACTGGACACACAGAAAGACAGACAAACCACCACACTGTCCCTGTGACAGGAAGAGAAAGGAGGTGGAGGGGCGGGAGGCGGATCGGAGGTCTGGAAACTGGAAGGGTGGCACAGTTTTCTAGGACGGGGTGACCTCCAGACGATGCCCCAAAGCTTCTGCGGGTTCTTCGGATGTTAATGAGAAAGTGTACAGAGCCCACTGTCGATCAGACACCCACACACACACTTCTACACACTCACACACATACACACATACACACACACCTGAGGAAATCCACTGCAGTGCAGAATTTGGCTTCTTATCCGGAGCGCCCCTGTGTGCACTCTGCTGTATGCAATCCTGCTGCTTCGCCTCCGCTGTCTGGGCAGCCTCCCGACTCAGACAGACGCTCCTGCAAACTTAAAATGAAGTTAAATGTTAACACTTTTATCCACTTATCAGGATTTAAATGCAAGAATACACTGATACAGCTCAGGCCTGAGAGTGTTTGTGCATCTCACAGAAAAAATGAGGGCAGATAATGATGAAAATGATGAAAGCATCAGTGGAAGTGAATACAAATGATGGAAATTTGAGAATATGATGATGAGAATGCAGTGAGAACATCCCTCAGCTGCAGTCTGACAGACAGGAGCAGAGACTATCAGTTACAACAAGCGTGACGAGGCGAATATGAACTTCAGACAGACAGCGTGCCCGTCTCAACTGCCCTGCGCCAGTCTGCCCTGCTGTCTGTCTGCTGCCCGCAAACAACGCCGCAAACTCACCGCTCAAACTGCACGGGCGAGCTGCTGTCCTCCACCGACGCCTCTGCGCGCGAACTGTCCGCTTCGACACAACCTGAACCCCGCAGCGCGAGCCCAGACATCCGTGGAGCCCCGTCAGGATAAATGGATGGCGTGGCTGGGTCCGGGCAGACAGGCAGCCTGCTCGGTGCTGTAGTGAGCGGCAGTGCTGATGTCAGTAAACCCCTCCTCCCCCCTCCTCTTCCTCCTCCTCCTCCTCCTCCTGCCGTCTGCAAATTATGCCAGGCAGCTGCGGAGACGGGACGGGTCGGTGTGGCGCACCGCCGCCGCAGCTGCAGCAAAAACACCGCATGACCCGGTTGTCATGCTCTTAGGTTCTGCTGCAATTGTAAATCTTTTAATCTGAGTTCTTGTGTTTCAGGCACGAGGGTGGCCCGGAGTGTTGGATGTCCAGAAGCTGCAGAGAGGTGATGAATTATGTAACAACTCTGTGACCTCAAAAAAAGAGTCGCTGCGTGCGTCTCTGCGCACCAGGGTCGCACTGTCAGGACAAAACAGATAAATAAAATAAAAACATAAAGGATGGAGGTGTGCTACATGAGAGGAGGATGATGGGAGAACATCTTGGTTGCTGTCTGGTGCGCACATGACGCAGCAGCAGACAGCGGCAGACTGCTGCGTCATCAGGTGCGCATTTTCAGTTTGGAGCTGCAGAGAACATTCAGATAGGAACAGCCCAGAGCGGGAAGGAGAGGGGCAACTTCTCTCTGTCTTTATAAAGCTGAATGACAAAGCCACAAGAGAATACGGAGACATTGGACATTTGGACGCAGACACACGCTACTGCAAAGTTAATATGGGGTTAAAGGTTTAAATGCAAAAGCATATTCATGCGGCTCAGGCGTGGAATTTTGCATGTCAGAGATTTATGGCAGAACAAGATCAAAGCAGTGTGAGAAAATGAAAATGATGAAAATAAAGAAAAAGCAGATGCTGCAATACTTGTGATGATGCAGCAATCTCCCATCCTCCTCCTCTGATATATCATACGTCCATCCTCTGTAATAATAATGAGACATTTGGACTATATGATAATGATTTTTGTGCAGCATCATTAAAAATAACTTTGCTTTATTATGTTACTTTATTTTCTGTTTTTGTTGGGTTTGGGTTGGGATTGGTGGGATATTCTATCACTTACAGCAGTGGGTCTCAAACAGTATGGACAGTTTGATAAGATTTATTTATTCAGAAACTGTCCATACAGTAGATATTGTGTAACCTATTAATGTTATTCCCATTATACTGTCAGTAATGTATTTCACAAGCTGAGCAAATCAAGATTAAAACAGTTTTTCAGACTCAAAGACACAAGAAAGATAGATAGATAGATACTTTATTTATCCCGAGGGAAATTCAAGTAGAAGAAGAGTGAGGACAAACTATAAAATGAAACAAAATGAGAAGAAATTTGAAAAATTGTGCATTTAAACACTTGACACTTGATTTGTTTTGATAAAAAATAAAGTTGTAAGAATTGATTTAAAACATGTTGAAGATGGATTGGGGGTTATAGGTGAAGTGGTCCAACAGCCCAGTTAATTTGATGGTGAGACGTGCACATCATCAGTATTTTGGACAATGACATTTTTTATCAGCACATTGGACTTTGACCTACAAGGGGAACTGGCCACCCATTGCACACAATCTTTGTGCAAAGTGCAATCAGATGGTTTGAGTTCCCAAAATCAGGTAAGAGAATAAGACGATCTCGAGGCTGTTTTCATGTCAGTGGATGCTTTAGAGCACATTCCCATATTCCCACAGAACGTTAGACTTAAGCGCATTACTGCAAACCAATGAACCTCGCCCAGAGGGCTTTTGGGCTTCCAGGTTCTACATATCTGAATATATTCTCCAAACATAATAATGCAATGAAGATGCTACTTTCATCTCATAATCTACTGAGCCAGGCATGCGTGATTAAACTCTCTTGGTGTTATTGGGAATGTGATCGTCCCCAGAATATAAATAAACGTATTTAAAAAACTGCATAAATTATTATCAGACAACTCTCTCTCTCAAAACCCGCTGAGGATTCGTCTGAGGCCTGCCTGAGGTCTGTTATTCTTGATATTTAGCAAGCATTAGTGAGATACTTAATGGATCAGTGACGCACTCAAACTGAAGGACTCTTAAAGTCTCGTATTGAGGACGAGATGTAAACAACACGATGACAGCTGCAGCTCCAACGCCACCTGTTGCTGAAGCCTCATTCTAAGGCCAATAAAGGCGATACAACAGACAGCTTTGGAGTTGATGCAATGTGTCCTTTTTATCTTTATTATGTGAATTGGACATTTATTGGCCTTAGTTCGGTCAAATTTTTTTATTTATTTATTTATTTATTGTAAAATAAAAAAAACCTACATGTTTAATTTTTTCTATGGGTTCATATTTTGAGATTTTGCTATGGTTTCCCAAGCCCTATTATTAGCCAGTGTTGCTTACATTTAGATAAATCTGCACCATAAAAGGTCAAGTCACTTTTATTTCTGTAGCCCAGTATCACACATTACAATTTCCTCATTCTGTAATACAGAAGTACAGAATCTGTATACTGTAGTACGTACAGTGACACCCTCTATCTTTGGACACTGGATCTGGATAAGGAAAAGTCAGTGTACACAAATTATGATGTCAAAAATAAAGATATTTGTACATTAGTGGAGGGGTCATATAGATATACATATAGATGCCTCTATATGTAGATAAAACATGAAAAAATGCCGTACAGGGGGTACATTGCCTTAATAGTGCTAATCCTAACCCCCAAAGTTCACTGGACACAGTTCCATCGCCTGAGCTGATTGCATCCTTTCTAGGCAATGCTCTAAATCCACCAGAAGCACCACAGCGTGTCTCAAAACGACACTCCACTCTGGTCTGCGTAGAATAGACCTACTGGCGTCAAGCAGCACAGAGCAGATGGCACTGACAGGAAGTCAAACAGAGAAACGGCATAGAGAGAGAGAGAGAGATTGAATTTCACGCTACATCAATATTGTGGCACCAGGCCCGAACTCAATCAGTCAGAGGAGAGTTTAAGCGGAGCAACACACAGTTTGTGCCTTTTTAAGGACAAAATACACACATGAAGTACATGGAGCAGGCAACACGCTCTGAAGACACTCCGCCTATTAAACGCTCTTAGTTGGGATTTGAAGGCACGCCGATCACAGAGCAGTGGCGGTGTTATAAAGCTGTGCCCGGTTGAACTTCGGGGCGACCCTGACCAAGCTGTTTCACAACTTGGATGTTGAGCAACTGCAGGTGTCCTGAGCCATAAAAAGGGATGTTGCAGTAGTGACGCAGTTTCTGTTTGCACGAATGTACAGACTCAAATGAACTGGGCTACGTTTGATACGGCAAATGTGATTATCAGGTAAGATCTAAAGTTATAAGAAGCACTTTTTCATAAATTATTTCTGATTTGATTTATGGGCATTTCTCCTTAATGGACATCAGAAATCCTGCTGTCACTGGAAAAAGTAAGTCCGTGACTTCAGAAAGAATTTGTCCGTTATGATGACGAAGAGTTATTATACAGCATTGTCCCCTCCTCATCCTCTCTTCACAGTCAGATCTCTGTCGTTCATCTCAGTTGTGTGACATTTAGTCTGACTCGCTGCCGTGTATGCAAATGTAAGGCGACAGAAATCAATAAAGCACTCGCTGAGAAATAGAAAGGATATAATCAGGATAATAAAGGCGTTTAGTCATGCTTGTGTCTCAGTGTCAGACGTGGATGATTGTCCTCTTTGTGGCTCTCGAGCTAACGTCTTTGTCTTATCTCTCACAGACACGGGCCAATCAGAGAGAAGAGAAAGCTTTATGAGAGGATAGTGTGACTTCCCAGGGGAGATGGAGGCTAGTTGTCCCAGATTAAATGTGTCAGATCTTACAGGCATCGTCTACCTCTATCACACTGGGAGTGTTCAATTACTCGCACATGTAAATAGTGTCTGTGCCTGAGTGTGTGTGTACAGCAGTGTTCCCATGGAATCATGAGTGAATGTTTGCTGGAGGCTGTCAGGACAGAGTACACATCATGGCAGACTGATCAGTGTTAGTCCCCACTCATGGTGGCTCACTGTCAGCAAATATGACAAAGACATTTTTCATAAAAAAGACCTACTGCAGCTTTATTACATTAGATTGGATGCAATGAGATACTGCTTTACTGCTGTGGTTGAATATTGGAAATCTATACTAAGTAAAAGTACAAATACTCTCATAAAGACTGACAAGTAAAAGTGAAAGGGGTTAAGTGGCATCTAGCGTTGTAGTTGCAGATCCTAACTCCTTTCACCGACCCTTTCCAAGTGCGAGTGAGAAACTACAGTGGTCGTGAAATGTGCAAAAAAAAATGCCAACGGCCCTATCCACAGCCTGCTCCTGCAGAAACAGGCGGTTCAACATCGCGGCCCCCTATGGTGGTGATTACTTTTATTCCAAGCAGCTGCACACAAAACATGATTGGTCAATTCAACTGTTCAAAATTTTAAGTAAAACTAACTCAATGTGCATTCTTCATCAAGTAGCTTCAGTGGTTTTAACTGTTTATTTATATTGGGTAAAAAACTAGTTAAATGTACTTAATGAAGAAGTTTTACACTCAGTCATAACGAAGGTATAAATGCAAATGTAGTGAAGTAAAAAGTAGATTACTGGCTCAAAAATATAGTCAATAAAAAGTACATTTTAAAAAAGGACACATGATTAGTATTCTTTCCCTAAAAAAACCTTTCTCTCTTCTGCCCCCACCCCTGTTTCACAGGGAGACCGCTATCTGAAGGCGTTTCGAGGTTGAGTCCCCCAAAAAAGGATGTGATGTAATTAATTGGATGAAAGGTTAATGTCCTATACCCATACTACTCCATCTCTTCCCCCCCAGATATAATGAACACATCTGGTTTGTTTGCCACTCTCTGTAATTAGCTTGGTCAAAACTAAAGCACATCTGCAGTGTGATCAAACCATCATTACCATAGCAACCTGACAGGGTCAAAGTTCGCACACACAACCTCACTGTCCGTGTGTGTGTGTGTGTGTGTATGTATGTATGTGACAGCTGCACGTCTGACTGACCTCTGCCACCCAGCTGTGACCCTTGGTTTGAA